AATGCTCCCTCAATTGCTACACACCTTTGATTAACTTCCAGAGTACTAAAATTTTGACTGTGACAATTTTTATAAGTTTTATTGCTTCTTTTATGGGGAATTATTGGTTTTTTCCTCAGACTATTTTTTACTATTCCAGCAAGATATATTTTACATGTAATATTATCTTAACATGTTACTGCTATGACTATTTCTGGATCAAGAAGTCATTTTAAAGTTGACAGGGAAAAATAAGTGATAATATCCTTTGAAAAATGTAGAGCTATGTGTGACTGCCAGTTTTTAACATGTTCTCAACAATCCTTGCCTGCTAGTGTTAGTCTCTCTTGTGATTCTTTTCTCCCATACTGAATCGGCAATGACTTGTGCAACCAAAAGCATAACATGGAGGTGGTTATGTTTTGAGATTGCACCATAAAATAATTTGCCACTTCTACCCCTGTCAGTTGGATAGGTTTATCTTCGAACAGCCAGCTGAGATGTTGTAAGGACAGGGAACCTGGAGAAGTCCCTGTGCAGAAGGTGGAATGTTCTGTAAACACCTAACATCATGCTGGCTATATGAGTGAGTCATTCTGTACATGAATTCTCTAGCCCCAGTCAAGCCTTTCAAAGACTATGGCACCAAGAAACATCTATTTGAACATATGTTAAGCCTTTATTCAACCTGCCCATTAGGCTCTTCCTAAGTCCTTGACTAATGGAAGCTGATATGATAAATACTTATTATTTTAAACCACTATGGTTTGCCATAATTATTTTCTCAGTAAATGATTACTAATAGAGTGAGCAATTGAAAACATGCATCTACAAGGAAGTACCTATCCTCAAGAAGAAATTTAAATAGTTAAAAAAAAACTACCCTTGAGAAAGTGTCATCTCTCATAGTGCTAGAGACTCTTTTACATCTACTATAAATTCAAAGTTATGTTCAAAGCAAAAAAAAATTATAATTGTTTTATACCCATTACCTGCATAATGGAATAACCCTGCTACTAAGATATGAAAATGACACAACAGATGAAAATCATAATCTTACTTATGCATACAGATTCTAAACAATGCTACTAAAAAATGAAATCTAGGAGGATTTTCTAGCAGGGAATCTAGCAGAGATGCATTATACATTTTCACAGCTACAGTAATTTAGATATGAAGTATAGGCATCAGAATAGAAGTATATGAATGGAAAATCATTTTAAGGTCTTAGAAACAGCACATCCATCCTGACGCCACTTATTAAGTGATCCATTCTTTCCACTTATAGTTGAATTGTCTTTATTTGTATTATATACATGTATGATGCATAAAGGACACAAATATATGATGTACATGCAATATTTTGCATAAATTATGCAGATTTTATATATGTATAGTAACTGATCTATGCTGCAGCCTAGTGATAGGCAGAGTATAGATATCCTTAATCTAAAAAAAGATGTTAGTAAAACCCAGAGAATTATAAGTGCTCCAGTTATAAAATAATTGAAAAGTTATAAAAATAGGTTTAGAGAATAAGAAATTCAAATGTCAATAGATATTTGAAAAAGTGTAGCTTAAATGGCAATAAATAGTTAGTATTTAGTTTGTAGGAAATTGTTAAAATTTTTGTTGTAGTTTAAAGAATAGCATTGGGTTAGCTTGAGAGGTAAATGGTGAATATAATTGACAGTTTTTCTGGTGATTATTTAGCCATACTATATCAACAGTTTTAATATTGATCAAGAAATTCTACTTGATGATTGAAATATAGTGCTTTTTATTCTTATAATTGCTTATGTATATTTATATATATATATTTCTAGCAAAATTACATTAAACTAAAAATTACATTAAAAATCTTACAAATGTTGCTTGCCCTTTCATACAGGAGGAAGCAGTGATTTGTTGCCTAGGAGAGCTGTGTTGTAGATTATTTTCCTTTGGTGTCAGTTTGGCTCACCATATGTAATCATTGATACATTTTGTCAACTTGAGAAATTTAGAAGTTTAACTAAGTGACTCAGCAGGGGACCAGGGTGCTCACTTTGTAAACATCCTCATCTTGTTCAAGAGGAGGGCAGGGAAATAGTGTGAGTACTACACCCAACCGAGAGGGTGGTAGTCTGCTTAAAATATAAGAGAAGAAAAGAGGCTTGTTCTTTCCCCTTTTTTGCTCTTGCTTCTTCTGCTGTCTTCTGCTACCATGAACTGTTGCCCTGTGCCACACCACCATGCCTTGGGGCCAGCTGTATATGGACTGAAAACTCCACAAACTGTGAACTACGTAAACTTTTCCTTTCTTAATTCTAGGTGTCCAGTATTTTGTCTCAGCAATGAGAGAAAAGTAACTAAGACAGAATTTGGTACCAGGAGTTGGGTTTTTTCTGTGACTTTACCTGACTGTCAAGAGCTTTTGGTAATGGCTTGTGGGAGGTTCAGAGATGTCACTTGAAAGAGTAGAGCTGGAATGTCTTAGACTGTTCTGTTGATCTGTTGTTCTGGGAGATTCTGGTCAGAGCTCAGAAGACCAGAAGGCAGATAGAAATCCTGGCAGTAAAGACAAAGCTTGGAAAGTTTCTGTTAGGAAGAAACTTTCTGTTAGGAAGAATGGTTGATGCACTGGCTATTGGAGTCCAGACCATGCATGTTATGGCTTGCCAAAAAGTTTATCTGCATTTTGATCATGTCCAGAGACTTTGCCTGAGACTGAGATTAAGGGCAGTGGACTAATTAATCTGGCAGAAGAAATTTCAAGACAGTTGAATGTGAGGCTGTGGCATGGCTATAGTTGGGGGCTTAAGCCAGATCTACATTGAGAATCAAGAGCAAAGAGCCCAACAGAATGATTTAAAATGTGAGTTTGGCCAGAAAGGAAGATCCAGTAAAGCTGTGGACCACAAAGAGCTGAGGAGATCTTTATTGCTGAGAAGCAACAGGAGAATAGAAAAGGTGACCTGAGGGCATCACAAAAAGCAGCAAGTCTCCACCCTCTGCAGACTCAAAACTGCAAAAGTGAAAGGATTTTCTTTGAGGAGAAAGCTGCAGAGCACCATGATCCACACCACTGGCCAGAATGGCAGCAGTGTAGAAAATTTGTCCCCCAGAACTAGATTCACAGTGCCCAGTGATCCAGGCATGCAATCCCTACAGCCAAGAGAGAAGAAAGCCTGGCTACTGCTCCAGCTGGCAACAGACATCATCAAATGGTGCTGTTTTAGGCACATGCAGAATGTAAGAGTTGTGGTGTTAAAAAGGGTTCCACCTTGATTTCAGAAGGCCTGGGAGGCAGTGTGCTCCTAAGACAGGAGCAGTGTGTGAAGCTATGAGGGTGAAGCCAAAGGTTCAGTGGAGACCTCAGAAGTTTGCAAAAGCCAGGAACATGGATCATCTAAGGAATGCTGAAGGAGGAGGAATGCTTAGCAATCATGCCTAAGAGAGAAACCATGGGAGCTGTAACTGATAAGGCAATAGATACTCCAATTTTCTTTTTTTAACTCCATATTGAGGGAAGTAATTTAAATCACTTAAGCTATAGTTCACCCAAGTCTCCCTGGTTAGTTATCAACTTAGAGAAGAGCAGAATCATAAAATGGGAACAGAATAAACAGCACAAATTGGGAAGTGGGCTAATAGTTAAACTGCAATGGTCATTTGGAATTTGGTTGTCTGACATTCTGGGAGAAGTAAACTTTGTAATAATTGTGTGACATTGTAATAAGATTCCCCAAAATGAGGTAATTGTTACTATAGAAACCTAAAATGTACTTAACCTGAAGGTGAGATGCTGGTTGGCATGGACATCTTCTCTGGCTCCTGGTTAGGGATTGTCCATCAGCTGGCTCCAATAAAGCTTTGTTCATTCCTGCCTCGTTGGGTTTCTTGTGAATTCCTTTCTTTTTTTTTTTTTTTTTTTTTTGTTTTTCTCTGGTACCGGGAACCGAACTCATGACCTTGCGCTTGCCAGGCAGGCGCTTTTGCTGCTGAGCTAAATCCCCAGCCCCGTGAATTCCTTTCTTGATGAACTCTTTTTCCCTCATGATAACCACTAGAAGTGCCATATGAGTGGAGTCACTCAAGCCCTTTGGAGCTCACAATTTGCCATAGGTTGCTTCAGATGCTGGACGTGGAACTATAGGGCTTAATGTTTGCCTTGGTGGATTTTAGACTTGCTTTAGTTCCAATCCTTTGTTTTTCCCTGTTTGTAACTTTTGGAATGAAATTGTTCATTTTGCTCCATTAAATGTTGGAAGTGTCTAACTTTTCATTTGCACAGGGGCTTGCAACTAAGAGTTTGCCTTAAATCTCAAAGGAGACTTGGGACTTGGACTTTTCAGCAGTGCTGAAACCGTTAGGATTTTGGCAACTCTTGCAGATGGACTAAATGCCTTTTGCATAAAGGGATGTGCATGAGTCTTTGGGGGACCAGGGGTGAAATGTTATGGTTCTAATATAATATAGTGTTAATAGACCTAATACTGGCTCTTAAGGATTGTTAATCCTGTGTTATATTGTTCAAATTGTGAAATGATAAGAAAAAGCATATCTTTGTATTTGGAAAGCAGTTTAAAGAAAATGCGTCCAGTTGCCAAGTTGAAAAAGGGTGGATTGTAATGTTTGATACATTGTGTGAATTTGAGAAGTTTAGAAGTTTAACTAAGTGACTCAGCAGGGGACCAGGACCTCACTTTGTAAGCATCCTCATTATGCACAAGAGGAGGGCAGGGAGATGGTGTGAGTGCTACACTCAACCTAGGGGGTGGTAGCCTGCCTACAATATAAAGAAAGAAAAGAAGCTTGCTCTCCCTCCCTTTTTGCTCTTGCTGCTTTTGCTGTCTTCCAGTGCCATGAATTGTTGCCCCTGTGCCATGACACCCTGCCTTGGAGCCAGCCCTGTATGGATTAAAATCTCCACAAACTGTGAGCTAAATAAACTTTTCCTTCCTTAATTCTGGGAGTCAAGTGTTTTGTCTCAGCAATGAGATAAAATGAACCAAGACACAATGGCAGGTGCCACCTACCTGCAAATAGCGAACCACTCGGCAGACCAGGTCAGGCGCCAGGAATTCTCCAGTGAATCGCCAAATAATGTCTGTCAAGATGTTGACCAGACCTGTGAAAGAGTCTAGCAAAAAACACACAGCTCTTAGTTTCAGTCTGTCAGATTTGCAGCTGTGCTGCATTTGAGGTGAATTTCTGGGGAGATTTTGCTTCTCTTGGTTTGCACATGGTCACTGAAGAAAAGGAAGATAAGGCAAGAGGCCTTCGGTTTTTATTGTTGGAGTTTGTTGACCACTCAGATATAACCACATAGGAAGGATTTCAGCAGTGACTGAGGGGAAAGAAGACTAATCATTGGATTGTTCTTTTTAAGTCACAGAAGAGTTTTAGGGTGTTCTAGACCTGTTTCAAAGCAAACACTCAGAATCAGAAGGAGGCGATGTTGAGAAAAGCAAATTTACCTTTTACCTTTGGGAACACTTCAAAATTCCTCTTCTCACATCTTTCATTCTGCAATTTAAGCCTCTTATCTCCTTACCTCAGACTCCATGTTTTTTGTTTCTTTCTACTTTCAATAACTATCCTTAGAAAAAGTGAAGCATACATTCTATTAATTTAAGTTGGTTGGACTAGTGTATAGGGAAACTGAAGGTAAGGTCAGGAATTTTGATCTGTGTGTAGTTTAGAAATAGTTCTGCAGCTGCAGACTCTATGAATTGAACAAATGTCTAGAAGGGAAATGGCAAAATATAATATATCTCTAAAAACTTCTCACCAGTCCATAACAGACATCACTAATTGGTGATAGAATTCAGAGTATTTCTCAAAATGGTGTTTTAGATATTCTCTGCTGATTGATGGATGGAATAAGAACACAAGACAGGATAAGCAAAATGTCACTGAGTAGTGGTCACTTTTTTAAGACATGGGATATAGTACACTATCAAGGACCCCATAAGCAGGGCAAGCTCATTGCTAAGGTAGCTCTTTGAATTCTGGAGAGAGTGATGTTCTGCCTAAGCAAAATAGAAATTTCAAAGCTGCCTTGTTAGCAGAGAGAAGAATAAAATAGCTGCAGGAAGTGGCTGACTGTAATGGATATTCTATGTGAGGCCAGAAAACATACCAGAGAGTTATTTCCATGAGCATTTCAGAAGACAGAGCACTCATTAAGACTCCCAGGAATGTACTGGTGGGAGGGATGATGATATCACCCAAAGCTTCAGCAGGCTTCTGTGCATAGGCCCAGGTAGGAGAGGTGGTCATAGAGGTAAGTGTGTGGTATGATTACTCTAGTGCTTCCCAAAGGACTCATGGATATTTGGTTGACTATATACTAGAAAACAAGGAACTACACAGACATTTTGAGGACTATTAATCATAGAGTCAGGGAACCTAGAGATCTGAGTATCATTCAGTTCTCTTTTAAAATAGACTCTTTTGAGGCTGGGTAATGAATGAAAGCCTGGCCACAGTGGGGAGATCTACTAGGTCTGTAGCCCTCCCTATTAGTCATTGTCCCAGTCCAGGACCATTTAATCAGAATACATGTACTTGACAGTTGGAATAGCCACATATTGGTTTTTCCATTCTAGTCATGAAGGCCAAAAGGAAAGTGCTCAATTCAATAGTTTGGTCCCTATAGACAATGAATAGATTTTGGAGAATTACTGTAGACAGATTCAAACTTGAGTAAGTAATAGTCTTGACTGTAGCTTCAGTGTGTTACAGCAAAAATTCAGGTTGTATTCCTCAAGAGACCAAAGAGAACAGACAAAGTTTTAATTTAGAACGGTCACCTCTCATCCCGACTTGCAAGTCAGGGAAGTGGGTGTAGACCTACGTTTGTTCCCAGCTTATATACATTTTTGGTTTCCATGGTAACATATTGGCATGTTGTAGCCCTGGCCACATGTTGTTTTTCTTGTGCCACGTAACCGGGTCAGGCTCTGGTCATGAGCCCAATCACAATGATATATACTTCCTGTACTCTGTTCTATATGTCCCCCTTTAGATAACCATACATTTCCTTTATGGTTACAATGTTTATCTAGGGCCAGGGAAGGGATAAAACAACCCAGGCAGGGTCATAGGTGGCTATCTGGGCCCTGGTGTTCTTTGTCTTTGGAGAAGCATTCCAAGGCTAAGTCAGGACTTCAAAGTTAACTCTTTACAACCCTTCCAGAATGTTTCTCAAGATACATTTTGAGGCTTGCATTAAGGCTAGAATTATTCTATCTTAAAATGATATGCAAAGAGTCATCTTCCCCTACAAGTGCAGGCATGATGCTTTGGCTAGAGCATATTATTATGGTCTCAGGTAACTGGTATGTAGGAATACATTTTGCAAGTATTCTGTTCTAATCCGATGGGTAAAGATGATCATAAAGAGTTCACATTCATATGGAACAGACAGTAACATGCATTTACTGTTTTACTGAAAGCTATGTTAACTCTCTTAACATCTGCCATAATCTGATTGGCAAAGGCCTGAAACACTGCAGAATATCACCTTGACCCATTTATATTGGGAATGTCACTAGAAAGACCAAGAAAGTGGTATTGAGTACATTACAGGCCTTGGTAAGATAAATGCACTATGGAGGGTGGGGGACGGACTCTGAAGATTCAGGAACATGTCACATCAGTGAAATTTTTCATGGTCTAGCAGTGAGGACCTGCTGGAAAATACCCACCTTCCCATCCCCAAGTACAATATAAATTGCTGCATCCTACAAAAATTACTTCACTAAAGAAAACAACTATGTATTAGGGCTCCTTGGATTCTGGAGGCAATACACTCCACATCCAAGAATATGGCTGTGGCGTATGCTGGATAATGTAGAAGTCCCAAATCCATGAGTGGGCCTGGAGCAGAATGGGCTCTGCAGCATGTGTGGACTGAGATGTAAATTTGGAGCATATAATCCAGCAGACAGTACAGTGTGGGCAATGTTGGTGGGAAAAGAAACAGTTTGGAGTAGATGAACACCCAGTGGGAAAATCAGAACACAGCCCTTGGAACTCTGGAGCAATACCAGGTCAACTGCAGTGGAGAACTCTATATCTTTTGAGAAACTGTTCCTATAATGTTTCTGAGACTTGACATTTTAGGAATGCTTGATAATGGAAGCATTGGGTATTTGGGACTGTATTATGAGCTGCATTTTGTCAAGTACAGGAAGTCATCAAGTCAGACAGGTTCAACAACTCTCCATTAAAGATGGAAGTACTATAGATCAAGCCCGCACAAGACCAGATCAGTATGAATAATAGCATGAGCAGGTAGACCAGATGCTCCCACATCATCCACCAAGGTTGTACAGTGGGTCTGCTCCACTCACATTTATGGTAAAATGAGGACATTGGCTAACACATGGATTAGTTCACTATGTAGCTGCAAAGCAAAAATAGTGCATTACAGTGGCATCCATGGTAGACTGGAAAGACAGCAAAGAAATATCTTCTTAATGTATGGAGTTGCAAGCAGTGTATTTGTTTTTCACTTTCCATGGAGGAAACATAACAAATGATTTGTCCAGTCAACATTATCCAGGCTTTGTCCTTAGTCACCAAAATACTGACATAATGAGCATATGGAATGGGCACAGTGACAGAGAAGAGAATTATTCATTAGCCAGTAAGGTGGACTGCCACTTCTCATGGTCGATCTATCTACTGCTGTCTTTGAGTGTCCAACTTGCCCCTCAAAAGGAACTATTTCTTGGGGAGATCAACTGGTGCCTTTGTGTCAAGTTGATATTGGACTCCTTCTGTCCTGCAAAGGCTAGCCATGCTCCTGATGTTATACTTATTCAGGATATGCACTTGCCTTTCCTGACCTCCGATCTATAGTCAACATCCCTTTCTTCTCTCTGGGATTCCGATGTCTCCTAACTAGAATGGAATACACACAACTTAGTATCTGACAATATAGTGCTCACTCCATAGTGAAGGGGATGTGGGATTAGGCACATGATCAATGCACTATCTAGACGCAACTGTCCTTGCAGAGCACTGGTTTGGAGTGCTGAAAGAACAGATAAAAGGCCAGCCTGCAGCTCCTGCCCTGAAATGATGGGCAACACCCATCAGAATACTGGCTATGCACTGAAAGCCCCCTTTGCATTGTGTTTCTAACGTTGTGTTTCTAACATGAAGTTCATATATGTCTGGGGGGTCAGGGGAGACTGGAAGCATGCCCTTGGTTAACATCACTTCCAGTGATCTTTTAGGGGCTCTGTGCTTCCTTATGTGCACCTCTGTGCTCAGCAGATAAGAGTTTCTGGTCCCCAGAGGATATCCACTCATGTCAGGAGACACAACAAGAACTAAAGTGTCACTAGGGAATCTTGTGTCTAGCAGCTACTGGGCAAGAAATGGAGTCACCATCTTGGAAAGAGTAAATGCTTGTTGTCAGTAGATGGAGGTGTTCATACAATCGGTAGAGCACAGGAAATTTTCTTGTACTTGTCAAGTTATGACTCACTGCAGTCAGTCAGTGGATGTGGTCAGGGCTGCTGGGCACCCCCAGCAGGTTCTACTGTGGGTTTGTGCAGATTCTTTACACCCTAGGCTGCCCTACCTATGCTGTGGTGGGAGGCAAAGGGGAGCTGAAATGAAATCTTTATTATTGTCATAAAGACATGTACCCTGGCTTCTAGATCCACAAAGAAAAGATAGATGTCACCTCTCTCCTGTAATATCCATAGGCTGTGCCTGAGGTAAGTTATTCAGCTCAAAATTCAAGTATGCCTCTTTTGGGAAACATCACTAGGCTTTGTGGAGAGGCTTTGTTATTCTTGCAGAGTTCTACGTAGGCAAAGGTGTCAACTCAGAAAAGGAGTATGCATCTGGCTAGGTTCTGAATAAACAACAAAATGATGTGGTCTACTAAAGGAACAGATTTTAGTGTTGGATTTGAAGTTAACATACTCATAGTTCCATTTCCAAGGGCATATTTTTTCTGGCATGTAACTACTGAAGAGGAATAGCAAGAGAGAAAAAGAACAGTCATTTGGTTAAATTACTTCTGTGACTCCTGGAAAATGAGTTTTATTAATGTCAGTATAGAAAGGAGCTGAGCACTCTAAGCAGGGCCTGGCACAAGCTAGGTGCTTAACCCATGCTTGTTGAATGGACTGTCTCTGGGGTTCGGGAAGGCTTTTATATAACAGAACAAAACAAAATGAAATAAAATGAAAGAGAACGAAAAATCCCGGAACACTGCCAAATTTTAAATTTTGAAATAATTAAAGGCTCATAAGAAGTTACAAAACTAGGACAAAGTTTTCATGTACCTATCTTCCCAGTAATGACATCTTATATAAATGGATTTAGGCTTCATGATTTAAAGGAAAATTACAATTCTTAATCTAGGCTACAAACAAATTGAACATGATTGCCAGGGATGTTATTAAGCAGTTATATCCTTAGCAAAGTTCCAAATATTCAGAAGTATTTATTTATTTAATCTCATAAGAAACTGTGAAGTATATACCCACTTTACAGTTCAGTAAACCAGGGGAGGTGAGAACATTATCCTAATATTTTACAGCAAGTTTGGGGTGAGTCAGACTTTTAACCTAGATGCTTGGATGTCATATTTATGGTCTTTGTCATACTCAACCTGTATTTTCCCTTTCATATTTTGTCCTTTCTTTAAAAATGCTTATTTTTTGTATTGCCTTTCAATAACTAGCGTACAGATATGAAGCCCTGTCTTCTTTCTATCCACTATTTCCCTACTTGGGAGGCCCTAATAAATGTTTAGATTCCTGTTAATGGCAAGGCAGTTTGTATTTCTTGCTTTACTGTTAACCAGGCAGTCTGATGCCCACGATTTACTGTTATGGTTTGAATGTGTCCTCCAGAATTCATGTGTCAGAAGTTTAATTCTAGGAGGTGGCACCTAATGGGAGGTATTTAGGTTATGAGTGCTTTGGCCTCATGCAATGTTAATGCCTTTATAAAGAGGGATTGTGAGACGGCTATTGCTCTTCTGCTTTCCACCCTGTGGAGATCCAGGTGCTATCTTGGAAGCAGAGAATGGCTTCACCAGACACCTAGCCTGCTGAAGCCTTAACCTTGTATTCCTAGCCCTCAGAACTCTGTGATGATACATTTCTGCTTATAAATTATCCACTCTCTGATATTCCATTATAGCGTTCTCAAACAGATGGTTGCTTCTTATCTGTCCTTATTTGGCATTTTACTATTGAATACCCTCTGTGCATTCAGAAATGCATTCTTTCTGCTTAGAATGACCACCCACCTCTCATCAACATATTGAATTCTTGTTCGTCTGTCAATATTTAGCCATATCTTTTCTCCTATAGCTTTTCTTGTTTTTTGTTTTTTTTTCCCCCGGTACCGGGAATCAAACTCACGACCTTGAGCTTGCCAGGCAGGTGCTGTGCAGCTGAGCTAAATGCTCAGCCCCTAAAGTTTTCTTGACCATTTTCCTGATATGGTCCTCAAAAGAGTATATGTGGGCCCTTCCAGTTCTGTGTCAGCATGTTTGTCTCTGCCTTTTTGTTTCTCTACAGGAAATGACAGTAATAGGCCTTGGCAACACCCGGGCACACAAGAGAGTCTAAGGCCTGGAGGAAAAAATTCCATGGCAACACTGGGATTGAAGAGTTCTTGCTGAAGATCGAAGATGTGAGCACAGCCTCGAGTTGTGGGTTGTGACTAATAAAATAGCAGTTTTGTAAAGCCTTTCCCGGCTGGAATGGAGTGAGTGGACTGGATGTTGGAGTTGCTTGAATCTTCTCTTTTGGTTACTGGTGTTTCTCTAGGTCTGAGTGGTTATATGAACAATTAGAGTGTGTTCTGGTGAAGTCCGATTTCCCCCTGGAGCTTCATTTTAAATAAGCCTATTTCTGGAAGCACACCATCAATGCAATCATGCTGCTGAGCTTGTTCATTGCTATTAGGCAAATGATGCTAGATCTGATCAGTAAAAACCTATTTAGTTACCTAAGTAATTGAGTGCATTGCAAATAAGCTGCTTCTAAATGGTAATTAACAGGACCTGGGGAACAAAGGGTACACTTCAAAGGCTTAATGACTTCCATGCATTACTCTTGACTTTCAACATTCATTCTGTGAAAGGTTCTAGGAACCTGTAATTCTCAGAAAATCCAAGGCAGACTCCCAGTAGGCATTACTGCTCCTTTGGGGGGTGTCTTGCAACTGTGAGTGTGGACTCCCACTTGGTACACAAAGGTGGGTGCAGGGGGGAAGAGTTGACAGACCTAAATGATTAGTAAGGATTGGCCAGTGAAAAGAGAGTGAAGGGCATTGATTCTAGCACAGATAAAAATATGAGCAAAATTCTGCACATGAGAAAAGTAAGAGGAGAAACTCCATGGCCCATTTATATGAAATGACACCAGTTTGTCATTTCTGAAGCCTATAAAGTTGGAGTGGAGGTGTGGCACGAAATAGGGCTGAAGGCACAAGAAGAGTTTGATCTTTTGAGGTTCTCATGCACCAGTTAAAGGGGTTTGCACTTTTTCTTTTATACCATAAGAGAGATTGAAAATTTATATCTTTTTGAGCATTAATCTTGATTTTTCAACTTAATTGGATGAGGAAATGCCTAGCAGATTAGTAAGATACACTGCTGGGTGCACCTGAGTGGGAAGGCTGACCTTGGTGTTTATATTCCCACTTCTTCCTCTCTAGTACTGTTCTGCTCTGTTTCCTGCCTGCCATGGACCAGACATTTTTACCCTACCATGCACTTCCATCACAATATTTCTGCCTTGAAGTCAGCCCTCTAGAGGCCGAATGTCCTGAATCTGTGACCAAAATTAAACCTCTCCTCCTTTAAGTTGTAGGTATTGGATATTATGTCCTAGGCATGGGAGAGCAGACTAAGAGAGTCTTTAAATATATGTTTTAAATAGATTTCTTTAGTTACTGTGGGAAGGATCAATATGGTAGGGCCAGTACTGGAATTACCATTTAAACTACTTAGGGGACTGTGCAGAAATCAGAAGCTAGTATATATAATTAAGAGTAGGGATAGAGAGAAACATGTAGGTTTGAGATATGCTTTATAAAGTAACATAGAGAGGCTTTAATGACTAAGTATTAAAATTTTTAAATATAAGATAGAAGGAAAGTTTGTGGTATGTTACATGTATCTTGGGTGGTCCTAGAAGATGGTAGTGCCATTAACTGGGCATGACAATACAGTACAAGAAGATAAACTCACTAAGATGAAATATGAATGACTTTGGATTTTAATTGGGGTTTTAGAGAATTCACATTAGTACTGATATCATTGGACTGAAACCTAACCACTATTTTAGTTGCTTCTATGGGTTTCATCTATTTATTCCCTTTCTATTTCTCTCTATTTCTCTTTGTTTCATCCTTTCTCCCCCTTCTATTTCTCTCTGGATTAGTTGAACTCTTATGATTTCACTTTTGTCTCTGCTATTGGCTTACTAATTATTACTATTTCTTCTTCCACTTCATTTTTCCTATTTCTTTTCAGATTTATAGTGTGTATTCTTAACTTATGTAGTGCTTCTATTTAGTACTATGCAAATTTGTAAATATTATGAGGGCTTAAATAGCCTAATTCCTCATAAAATTTGTGCTAATGTTTAAATATTTAATTTTACATGTATTATAAAGCCAACTACTGCAATTTTGCTTTAAACAGTCAGTTACATAAAAACAAGAAAAAATGTGCTTTCTTGGTAAATTTTCCTCTTCAGTTTTTCTCTGTGCATAGTTCTTTATTTTCTTACAGACAAAATTTCTGGCCTGGTGACATATCCCTTCTGTCAGACTTCTTTTGATGTTTCTTGAAATACTGGGCTGCCAGTAAGGAATTCCCCCACTTTGGCTTTGCTTTTTAAAACATCTAGAAGAGTCTTTATTGCTCCTTCATTTTTATCAGATACCTTTGCTAACTATAGAATTCTGAGTGATAGTTTTTCCCCCCGTTGGCTTCCAAGGTGCTCTTTTTTCTTCTGGCTTGAATACCTTCTGGCAAGAAGTCTGCTGTATTTCTGATACTTTTTGCTTTGTATTTAATGTGTGCGTGTCTTTCCCCCCAATTGCTTTCAAGTTTTCTCTTTATTTTTCTTTTTCTAGTAGTTTGAGAATTATTAGTCCACGATTTTTCTCTCTTGCCCTCTTTCTCTTTTCTGTGACCCTAAGTTGCGTTAGATCATGTAGCATTATGTTTTCTGAATGTTGTCTTTCCCTCTACCCCTGCTCTTTCTCCCCTCTCTTCTCCTTTCTCCTTCTTCATCCTCTTCTCTTTATGTTTCAATTTGGGTAATGTGTTGTTAAGTCTTCAAGTTACTTAATCCTTCCTTTGACTATTTCAAATCCAGAGGCGGGTCTTTAAATGGATTCTGTGAATTATTTCTTTTTATTTTTAAATTTCTCACATTTCCAATTCACTCTTGCTTATAGTTTTTATCTTTCTATTAAAATTACTCAATTGTTGTCTACCATTCTCTCTAGAAATTTTTACTTATTAATTACAGTTATGTAACAGAAAAGGATTTTTTTTTTTTTTTTTTTGGTTTTGGTTTTTCTCCGGTACCGGGAACCGAACTCACGATCTTGCACTTGCCAGGCAGGCGCTTTGCCGCTGAGCTAAATCCCCAGCCCCGATTTTTTTTTTTTTTAAGAAAAATCTCTTACTTAAATATCATTTGGAGGACTTCTGAAAAAATGCAGAGTGGTAAGCAACAACTAGCTGGTATCGCAGAATTGGAATCCAGAGACTGGAAAATAACAACTTGTGGAAGGGAGAAACAAACAAACAAACAAAGAGAAATAGATCTTCAGGAGCCAGGAAGAATCTGACAGGAAAGTCAAAACCTATAAAGAAACTGAAGAGACTGAACACAGTGCAGAAAGGGACAATCTGAACTTTCTCCCTAAGTTTACAGAGACAAAGTAAAAGCTGGGGACGCCTGAGGCTTTAGGGAGAAATGTGACAGTGGAATGGAGTGCTATGTATTTTGAACTGCAGGAAGAACTTAGAGTTCTGCTCTTACATGGGTTGTTTGTCATGCAACAGCTAGTGAGTGACTGCAGTCCAAGCACCTGCCACCTCTGGGGAAAGTACTTGCCACTGGAGGGAAGGGTTGATTGTTTGAACCTGGACTCAGAGCTGTCACAGGACAGGCACACTTCAGTGTTCCCAGTGTTATGTTTCCATCATGCTTAGATGAGAAAGAGTCATGGAAGTTAGCCTTGGACAGAAAGCTGTGGTCACCTGGAAAGAAATCCCCTAAGGAGTTTAAATTGAAGGTCATAGGTCTCATTCCCATGGCCAGGCTTAGCCTGAATTGTTCTGGATTTGGAAGTTATGTCATTGGTGCCCTCACCTTAAGCTGGGACATGAATCCAGCGGGGACTTGGAGTTTAAGTGCCTTCTTTATCTAACAGCTTGAGCAAAGACACATTTTGACTGGGACCCTGCCCTGAAATTGTATATCTCAGTGGACAGACATACATTCAAGATCATAGGGAAATTTCCTTCCTTCTTTCCTCCCTTCCTTCCTTCCTTCCTTCCTTCCTTCCTTCCTTCCTTCCTTCCTTCCTTCCTCTTTCCTTCTTCCTTTCTTTCTTTCTTTTTTTTCTTTCTTTCTTTCTTTTATTCTTTCTTTGTCTTTTTGAGACAGGGTTTCACTGTGCAGTTCATGCTGGACTTGAACTTACTTTGTAGCCCAGGCTGGCCTCAAACTTGCAGTGATCCTCCTGCCTCAGTTTCCTAAGTGCTGAGATGACAGGTGTGCACCACCATGTCTGGATTCTTCTTTTTTTCTTTGAGTGTGTGCATTATTTTTTGTTGTATTCTCTTTTCTGCTTTCCTCCTTTCTTCTACACAGTTTATTGTGGTTTGGGGAATTTCCTTTGTTCTTCTTATTTTTCTTTTTAATTTCTCCTTTAAATTTTCTCTTTTTATTCTCATATAATTTATTTTTCTACCTCTTTTTATTTTATGTTATTTCTTTCCAGTTTTTTCTCTTACATTTATCTAATTCTATAAACCTCCTTCTATTCACCAATGGTATCCTTTATACCATCTCTCTCTCCTTCTCCTCGTATAATAAAGTCCCTTATTCCCAACCCCCTATATCTTTAATAGGATAACCATAAATCTTTATTAATCTTTTAATAGGTAACTCTATAAAATTATCATTAAATTCTTTTCTACCTTTAGAGGACATGGAGCTGTCATATGTAGTACATTTTAGCTGTACTTGAATATCTGGATTTTCTTAATGTTTATACCATAATTGTGGATTTCTTCTCTAGGGTTAAAAGTGGTACATAATTAGTTCTTATCATATGTTAATATCCAATTTGTCTTGAATGGTAATATGTAGCTTCTTTGCTTGATATTATCAGGGTCTCATAATTATTGCTATTTCTCTATAAGCCAACACTCAGATTACTTTTGTAATATTAACAATACTAGAGTATATTTCCATAGAACTCAGTGTTGGATTAAGTACACTGCATCCTCTCCTCCTAAATTCATCAAGGTGGTTGGATCTTGGGGCTGAGGCAAACAACTATAATTAGCCATGTCCAAAGTACATCACTGAAAAGTGACTAATGTGATCTCTATATCAGTAAGAAAGGTTTTACAATGTAAGCACACACAAACCTCAAGTAAAAAATAATAGAGAAGGCAACAAAATGTTTCCCCAAACTCCCAACTCCAC